AATACTTGAAAGAATTCACAGAAAATCGGTAATTTTGACCTAAAAAACGCTCAAAATGAGGACTATTCTAGACATCGCTCTTCAGTGAATCTTTCAACATGGTGGTTAAAAAGCATCTTTCTAGCACAATTATGACATGCTTAATCTGTTTATAATATAGTGACACGGCCATCTTTCCGTTGAATACCTGAAAAAATTCACAGAAAATCGGTAATTTTGACCTAAAAAACGCTCAAAATGAGGACAATTCTAGACATCGCTCTTCAGTGAATCTTTCAACATGGTGGTTAAAAAGCATCTTTCTAGCACAATTATAACATGTTTAATCTGGTTAAAATAGAGTGACNCGGCCATTTTCGTTTTATTGAATAGACAATAAGAGATATCAAAAACTGTCAGTTGATAAAATGTTGATGATTTCATAATAAACATTTTGTTAGTTGACCACTTCTTAATGTATTTAACAGGAAATGAGATAAATGCGCTCAAAGTTGACTGCTTGGAGCACACAATTAGAGTTTTACGATAATCAACTTCGGAGCCCTACAAAAGTAGTCCAAAATATAGTTATTCGTCTGAAAGTTTATGAGTATACTAAACAACTTTTTTGCTGATATCCATTCTAACAAGATATGTCATTTTTAATTAAAAAAGTGCCAAAATTAGCGATTAAAATGAAAAATGTGCCATTTTGAATGGAAAAAATGCTCCTTCATTAGCTCATATCCTCAAGTTTAAAGCAATTTGCCTTCAGAACTTAGGTAATTATTCTAAAAGCTGTATACCACAAAAGTAAGCTTTATTTCAAGCCAGCTGAGCACGGATCATGATATGTCACCACAAATCATCATTTCAAGATATGCCAACTTTAAAAGAGCATATCTCAGAAAAGACAGAAGCTATAAAAAAGTTGTCAACTAAAAAACTATCAATCATAAATAGACATTTATTTTTGTACTTGACTACTTTTTTCTAACTACCGTAGTTTTTGAGATATGCGCCTCTGAAGATAGGGTGCCCTACTACCCATCTGTTCCTCCGGTTGTGAGCGCGCGCAGAGAGGCCAGGTATCTTTAAAGGCTCATAACTCAAAAACTACAGTAGCTAGAAAAATGCTGTCAACTACAAAAATGAAGTTCAATATTTGCTTGGTGTAATCTGCAAATTTCAGAGCAATCTGAAAATGTTTAACCACTTTGGTTAGCACCTGAAAATCATGAGTGAAAATTGATAAGCTTTTCTTGAAACATCTGTAAGTCGCAAAACAACAACTTTATTTATTGACAAGAACACGATTGTCCGGATAATCCTGAAATCGAACTGCAGAAAATAACATTTGGAAAAACATTCAATTGATTTATTATTCACAATCAGAGAATTTTTGGCATGATAATACGATGCAAATGGCAGTACAAAGAAAGGTAAGCAAAGAAATGCAAAGAAAAAACCAGTTAGAGTTAGTATAGAATCAGTTATTCATGAATCTATTTCGATGTTCCTGGCTCCTTGGTTGTCTGGTTCTCCTCCTCCTCTCTCTTCTCCGACTCTTCTCGAAGCTTCTTTTCCAATGCCTCCTCCTCTTCGTCGGTTGAAATCATGAATTGTTCCCTCAATTGCTCCGGGTTCTTGTCCTTTATCATTAGCTGTATCTTCTTACATCCATAGGTCACAAGCTTCTTGATGCTCAAATAGTTCGCGGCCCTTAGGAACTTCTCAAAGTCCTCATCCTTCATTTTTTCCAAGAACTCCAGATCCCACGCTGGTAGCGACATTCCAATTCGAGCATCGTAGTCATATGCCCAGATCTCCTCATCTTTATGGTGTTCGCACCATTCTATGATGAGTTTCATAGTGGGTCCGTCAATATTGTTGAATGGAAGGGCGGTGTTGGATCCGATTGTTCCGATGAGATCCTTAATGGTCACGGACTGATTGCAGGCAGCTTCAGTGACGGCGAACTTGGTTCCATCTGATGCCTCGACGAAGAAGGAAGTCGATGAAGGAGCTGCTTCTGGAGCGAATTCGGCAGTCTGTCCGTTGCTCATTTTTTGAAGAGTAGTTTTTTTCTGAAATCAAAAACACTTTGCTTTTTTTACGAATCAAAAAAGTAGAAGATCCCAAAAAAGAGAGAAAATATATAGAGAATCGGAAATTTAAAATCAAATACTGTACATAAAATCTGTAACAGAAGGGCCAATCAACTTTGAGCTCAAATATCTCAATTCTTATGCAAGATATCATAAATTTGTCAACTGACAAAACACTACTGATATTATGATAAGCAATTTGTCAGTTAACAACATTTTTGTATCTTTTTCAGGAACCGAGATAAATTGGCTCAAAGTTTTACATTTAGAGGGCCCTTCTATTACAGGTTTTAAGGTAATCTAAAATTTAAAATAAAATTCAAATTTACAAAAAAACGTATTTAGAAGTTGCGATTTAAAAAAGTCTCTGTTAAGCACATGCTTTTCGAATATCTTTGTGCAAGGTAGCAATCGCGCTCTGTCGCACAAGTGAGGACACATACTCCGTATCCTCCTCCCTCGAGTCGCTGCGCAGTTATGCGCGGAATGACGCGTTTGATTTTGGCTCGATGCCAAGTCCCGTTTACAGAATTTGATTTTTTGCGCTTTTGAATTGGAACAGCTAATTTATAGTTTTGTTGGAAATTAGAAAACTAGGTAACTTGAGAATATGTTGATTACAAAAAGGAAGCTTATCGTAAGTTCTATACTAGAAGGGCTTATAAATCTGAGCCAATTTATCTCGGCTCCTATAGAAGATATGTAAAATTTGTCAACTGATAAATTGTTTATCATAATATCAGAAGCATTTTATTAGTTAGCAGATGTTTGATATCTTTTACAGGAACCGAGATAAATTGGCTCAAAGTTGACAGTGTGGCGCCCTTCTATTATATTAAAGGTTTTACGGCAACTTCGTGGTTTAAAATTTCTGAAATTTCAGATTTTTTGAGAAAATCGCTTTATTCATATTATTACAAAGTAAAATCAAAATCATTTCTTCCCTAGTTTCTCCATTCTTAGCTTCTTCTTCTTCTCCTCTTTCTCCGCTTTCTTTATTCTTATCATCTCCTTGATATACTTCAATGATTCTGCATATTCTGTATTTCTCAGCGTCTCTTCTTCCACACGATTTTTCAGTTTTTCTATCTGTAAATCTTGTTTTTTCAAATCAAAGTCTATTTTCTTCTCATACCTCCTCCACCTCAACCGGATCCTGTTTTATAAAATCCAATTTAGCCTCCATATTTTTGATTTGTTTCTCCAAATGGATGATCTCAATTGCTTTTTCTTGTTCGATCGCAGCGAATTTCACATTATCGGTTTCGATTTGGATTTTGGATTGGGCAATCTCCTTCTCCAACTCCTCAGCTTTTAGAGTGTTTGCCTCAAATTCCTTTTCCAGTTGAGCAATTTCTTTCTGTATTTTTTCTAGACATTCTAGGATAAAAAAGATGAGAGACACACCGCAAAGATTTGATCATCGTCTTCTTTGACTGAAATATTTTCAGGCATCTTGGGGTCAAAATCAAAAACGCTAGCGAAAATTTCATAGATCTGAAAATGAGTTGGGATTCTAAAGAAACTCTGTAATTGATGGGCCTCCTCACTTTGAGCTCAAATATCTCATTTTCTGTAAAAGATATCAAAAAGTGGTCAACTGACAAAAGATTTTTAATATTATGATAACCAATTTATCAATTGTCAACTTTTTTATACCTTTGACAGGAACTGAGATAAAT